TGTGGGCCGATTGCAACATAATAAAATTAATATTTGTAAATAATGATGAAGAAGTCGAAGAGAAACTGCAAAGAAATTCGAGTGCCTGGTCTCGGGCTGCCACCCCATTTGTATTAGAAGATCTGACAGAATCACAAACTCATTCTTTCCTAACCACAAACTACATTCTAAGGAAAGATAAAAATAGCTACGCAGAGTCAAAAGATAAATCTATAAAACTAATCACTCCTGAAGATTCTGAAAAAATTTACGAATTAGTTGGGGGAAGGATCCTATATCTAGTAAGCATAAAGAGAGATTACATGAAAGGTTTCTCTCTCGATAGAATATTTTTAGATATGAAAGATAGAGAGAAAGAGAAGTTTATAAATGTATCAAGGAGGCCATCAACATGGAAGGTCATCTCATTGCTGAGGTCATTTCCTCACAAGTCCATGAAATTGTCAAAGTTAATTAAAGCAACTGACAAAGACGACGTTGATTATCTTTGCAAGTTGAATGTCATTAGGTTAGCTTAAAAAGAATTTTTTGATGCTGGTCAAATTTAAATCCAACTTCAATTTTGTAACATCTAATTTCACATAGCTAAAATTTTAATTTGTTATTTGCCATTTGGTAATATTTGTATGTTCAACTATTGTTAGAATTTTGATGATGTTTCTCATATATATATTATATATAAATATATATATACATACATACATATTCAAATATATATATATATACTTTTATCAATATCATGTGTTAATGAAATGTATATATTGTAAAAAACTATACATAATAAAAAGACATAAATATCACTATTTAATCAATATCAATTCAATCAATTATTCAATATTAATTAACATAGACAAAATAATCTAATAACGGTCATAGACCAATTTATCTTTGTTTTTCCCCCACAATCTGTACAGATTAGTGAGAGATGACATTGGCATAATGGTCAAGTTCAATTCAAAGCTAACGGAGAACGTAGTTGAAGAGCTGGAAATGTTATATCAAAGAGAACTTCAAGAACATAAGGAGCAATGTACATCCCCTAAAAAATCCCCAGTTTCCTAATTGCTGTTTTATTCGCAAACTTTTTTAAAAATAGTACACTAGCTTTGTTTGGTCGTGAATAAATGTGTGTATTTATATAAGTATTTGTATGTTGTATGCAAGTAGAGATATGATGCTGATGAATTATATTCATACAAAGGTTTCCACTACATCTCATTTTACTAATTAATCATCATAACCATCGTCATCATTCATTACCATCCTCAAAATGTTCAGCCTTGAATTTATTATACACTGTATATTTTTTACCTGGCATTTTTAGAGTATTGTCGCTTAGTTAAGTTTACTTCTTAAGTTATTTGTTTTATGTATATAAAATATTAATATATATATATATGTGTATATATATTGAATGTGTTCTTAGCTTTATTTATACTTACGTTTATACTTATATTTACGCTTCAGTTATATTGTTTAGTGTTTTAATTAATAATTTTCATTTTATCAAGTGTGTATACATATATGTACATATAGGTGTGTGTGTGTGTTGTTTATTGATGTACAAATGTACAGGTTTAATGCTATGCTCCATCTATTACATTTGTATCAAATTATGATTTAAAATGATTATTTCCTTATTTCCAATTAAATTATTGTTATAATGATAATTAATTATTATAAATAAATTATGAAGAAAGAAACAAAAGCTTAATAATAGTAATTAGATAATTTTGTGTCAAATTTGAAATTAGTTAGATGTTGTACATTGTACATTCACTCAAAATGATGAGGGCTATGGTGGGATTAATAATTTCTCAGCACTCTTTAAATAGAATTGTCCATCGTTTGTTGTGGCGTTCTGCGTGCAGAAAAAAAGATACTAGATAAAAACATGAATCATGTAGAGCTTAATTACTCACATAATTGTTATTTTACTATTTAATTGAATAAAAAAAATTCAGAAATTTACTTTATTGATTTCCTTTTGTCTTTTTTTGGACACAATCTCTTCCATCACTTCTCCGCTACCACGAATTAATCTGTTTCAAGGTTTTTTTTAGGACATAAAAAACTGTCAAATTAGGAAATAAATTTACTAATTAATCGAAATTTATAAAAAGCATTTTATAAATTTGTCACAGTTTGAAATATTTTAATGAATTAACAAGACATAGAGGCAGAGAGAATTACTTATTCAATAGAGTCGCATACACTTAGAACTCATTACCAAATGAACTTGTTGAGGCACAATCAATGAACAAATTTAAAGCAGGGATTGATTGTTGGATCAAATCAGCTGTGCTAGTATGCTCTTTGGATAACCTCCAGAACAGCATTATTGCTATTACTACTACTACATGTTTGTAGATATATATATATATATATATATATATATATTGATTAATGTATATATATATATATATATATATATATATATATATAGACAGGAATAAGTGATGTACCTATTTCTGCCTGTTTCTGGGTCGTAGATTCTTTTTAACTTTTTTTGTTCTTTATCCCATTCTTCCTTTGTCATTGGGGTTTTCATTTTTTTCATGATTCTTGAACATTCTATGAGATGAGATAATAAACTAATGTATTAATTGATTATATTAGGGAATTATAAAATTGAGATACTTATAAATTGAGTTATAAAACAATTAAAAATGAATGTTATGAATCTTAAAATCTTCTTAATAAAAAATTTTAACTTTATAAATTCTAGAATAAACTTAATTCCACAGCCCACCCTTAGTTTTTGGATCTTTTTGTTTTTGCAGTTGGCTAGATTGAATTAGAATCAATTTGCCAGGTTCTGGACCTACTAGCACATCACTGCATTTGTCTGAATGTGAATCTTCCCCACTTGAACTGCTACTACTTCTACTACTGCTTTTCTTTTTCTTGTGCTTTTTCTTTTTTACAGTTTTGGATTTCTTATTTTATAATATGTGATAATTGATTAATAATGAAATATTAATTTATTAGTACATACAGAATATTAATATTAATATAATTAATAGAAATATATTAAAAAACAAGTTTGTAGTCTCCGAGATTACCTTTTTCTTCTTCTTTTTCTCAGAGTTGCCGTCTTCGTTTTCGCGTTTTCTTTTCATTTAGTATAGGTCTTATCTTATGTTGCTAAATTTTAAAAATTGAAAAAATTTGGCATACTAAAAGTGAATTCTACCTAAATTATAATTTTATGGACAGAAAAATCTCAGCTGACTAATGCATTTCTTTTTGAAACTTCATTTTTTGAAAAAATTTTAGTTTTATATTATAATTTAATATATTTGTTTAATTTAAATTTAATTTTTTTGTTTCAAGCAACTATAAACACATAAATAAGCACTTATTTGCAATTTTGTTTATAAATTGACTGAAACGTTAATGGCTGTCCATAATAATTTGAACATTTCGAAAACATTGCCTACATGTATTTTCTTGTAAAAATTATTCAAAGTTATTCGTTGAAAATAAATTATCCGAGAAAGAAATATAAACCGACAATATCGTTTTTAGTGGTATATTAACGCGTTAGTAAGCATTTTAATAATTTTTGGTCTACTTGTTACAAAATTATGTTTTTTAGTTTTCACTTTTTCCCTTCTCTACATTACAAACTGCACTATCAGTCTAACTTACTAACACTAACTGAACCCAAACGTGATTTGAACAAACAAAGCATTGAATATTGTTATAATATCAGCCTATCAATTAACTAAATGGCATTTTTATAGCATTTTAGCATTAATTAAATATAATCATTATTATAATTATAAAATATAAATACTTTTTTCTACAAAATACTCATTAAAAAACTTAAACATTTGGTTAGTTCTTCATTAGTAGTCTCATTTAATTTTTTTCATTAGGAATTGTTGAACTTGAAGTCATTAAAAGTTTTCAACCATGGAGAATTTCATTGGTTGTTTAGTGTCTTTGGACTGTGGCAAGACACTTGGAACCTACCAAGGTCAGATTGAATCTATTGATGCTGTTCAAAGTACAGTGACTTTAGTTAGGTTGTTCAGGAATGGGGTGCCGTATCAATTGCCCCAAGTCACTATCAGGTTGGTTTGTTAATGTTGCATTTATTGTCTTCATGTAAGTGAACTGTATCTTCAGTATATGATATGAACATTCATTTTTGCTAACATTGTTTAATTTTTTAAAAATTGAAACCAGAAAATTCGAGCGGCACTGTTTTTTTTAGAAGTTTAAACATTCACATTTGTAATAATAATTTATGATTTTCACCACAGATCTGAAGATATTAATGACTTGAAAATCATAAAATATGCTGACTTAGTGAATAAAGAGAGTAATGAATATTCCCACTCACATGCATCTAATCTGACATCAATGTTAACAGCAACTACATCAATTACAACAACAATCCAAATATCTTCTGAACCAGCTGTAGCTCCAATTATGGCTCCAGTGCAGCCAGCAAACAGCACAAAAATTGATCTTCCTTCCATGTTTTCCAAAACGAAATATTTCCAAAGTTTAGATGCAGCTAAGCATGACAGCTACTATTCATCGATGAAAGCTCCAGCAGCTAATAAGCCATACAATAAGCAGCATGCCAATATTTCAAGTGATGATTTTATACACGAACAGATTTTTACTAATCAGAGCAGACGACATAAAACGAGCATTACTCCGCCGAATAACTTTGGCAGACAACATTACTGTAGCGAACTTGAGGATAGTTTTAACAACCTGAACAAAACTGAAGATAACCAAAGACAGAAAATGAACAAATCATTCAATCCTTATCATCAGTTTTCACTGACTTCTACGAAGACAACCACACAATCAGGTGTTACATTCACCAGTTCACCAAACTACAACACTCAGCAACAACAACAAAATCCGAAAATGGTTTCTAATTACAAAGGTTCAACTAAGGATAGTCATGCCAACAGAAATCAGCTGTTGAAAATTTCAAATTCGTTCACAGAGCCGTATGGCACCCACGCTAGCATGCATTCACACAAAGGTGTTTTTGTTTCTTTGTTGTTTTTGATGTCTTTTTACTTGTAATTTTCAATTCATTGCTTCACAAAGCCTGTAGGTTCACATTTTTTAGCATTCATTCTTGAGAAACAGTGGGTGGTTGGATGTTATTTTTGTCAATATACAATGGTATTTCACATTTGCATCTAATTCATACTAACAACTAATGCATTTTTGACGTGCAGCTCACGAATCCTCTAACCAGTCACCATCACGAAAACCTCGCAACACACCGAAACGAAACAACTCGGACTGTTTCAACAACTGTGATGACAACTTCAAAGACGATTTCGACTTTGAGAAAAATCTTGCCCTCTTCGACAAAGCAGCAGTGGCAATGGAGATAAATTCAGCAGCCAACTCTGCACAGCTGACCACAACAATGGCGGCCGCCCCATCAGGCCACAGCAACGTCAAACAACAACTACTTTTCAATGCATCACTCATCCCAGAGCGGGAACCAAAGTATAAATGCGATGAGAATATTCTAAGGGGGATTAAAACATCAAAGAGGCAGATCTATTTTCCGGATGCCCAACAAAGCCAACCACCGAAGCAGTTTACTTACAACAGCACGCTACAGCAGCAGAAGCACAACATTCAGCAACAACAACTGCCTGTGAATCATTTGATACTGGGGGAGTACAAGACCGATGCTGAACTGATTGTGCCAGGGCTGTCCAAGAACTTCCGAGCCAAATTATTTACCACGTCGAGTAGGTGGGGCTTCAGCTTGTTGAGGCTTGTTGAAGCATTTGGTCGGGGCGTGTGTGAAGCTGTCATTCAGTACTTGGGTGGCTGTGCAAGGTTTAGCTAATTTTGTTTTCTGTCCTTTGTCTGTATGTATTAGCATAAAATAAATTTAATATCTGTGTAGATTTGAAGAGAAGAATGCCCACCAGAGACCGACCATTGTGTACCTGGTTGGTTCTCGATCCTGGCAATCTGCCTCGGCCCTCAACAGCGCCCGACATCTCGCCAACCGATCCGCCAATGTTTTTGTCTATGAAACGTCTCCATCGTTACTTACGTCGTCTACTGCGACAACATCGCTAGGCAAGAAGCGACCCTCGCAGAAGAGATCAAACTCCACTCTTACATCTACATCGTCCAGCACTAAGAAGAAAAATGATAGCGACGATCGTGGTGGCGGGGATGATAACGACGACGACGACGGCGCTGATGAACACGATGAAAACGAAGCCATGTATGCAGAAGAGTTGGAACTCTTTCAAATGACCAGCGGTCTTAAGATTAAGAATTCTGTAGGTCAGTTTTCAGTTTTTGTTTCTCATTCTTTCTTTCTCTCTTTTTTATTTTAGTTTTTTTACTTTCGTTCTTTCTCTCTTTCTCTGACCCTTATTCTTCTCTTCTCGTTTTTGCTCTGCTCAAGTTATTTCCATCCTTTACCTGCTTATATTCACTTTGGAATCTGGCTTACTGATTTTTCTACTAACGACACCAGTTTAAACCACCCGCAAAATTCAGATTTTCAGAAACTTGGCAGCGTCGATCTGATAATCTCCACGCTCGACATCGAGGCAAACTCCGACGACAACAACACAGCCAACCTCCCGTCGGCAGCAGCAGCCACAGCAGCAGCGACAACAACGTCAGCAACGACTTCCTTTCCTTCAACTACAACCAAGACAGCGTCAATTATCAACATCATCGATATCACGTCGAAAAAGTTGACGTTACAGCAGCAGCAACAGCTGCAAGTTAAGCAGACTAACTCCTACGCCATTCACTGGGCAAACTCCAGCAAGGCTCCAGTATTTTCTATAGAGCCGTCAGCCATGCTCAAAGAGACATCTGTCCCTTATAAGAGGTCCTTCTTCTGCGCCCTTCCACCCTGGTTTGATGGTCTGAATGTGGGGCAAATTAGTTTATGTGACCCCGGCTGGCCCGTCAAAATTTTCAACGAAGTCGGCCTCGCTTATAATTCTCCATTTCAGGATAAGTTTTTTGTTAGTTTGCATCCGGTTTAAACTGGGTGCTTGTGTGTGTGTGTGTGTGTGTGTGTGTGTATGTGTATGTGTGTGTGTGTGTGTGAGTGGAGAGGAGGAAGAGAGAGAGAAAGAGAATGGGAGAGAGAGAGAGACAGAAAGAGAGAGAGAGAGAGAGAGAGAGATGGGATTGAGGTGTGTTAGATAATTATATCAGTTGCTATTTACATGCTGTCGTCGTTTGTGAGTGTATTGTGCTGAGGTGTTGTTTTGCGCGCATGTGATAGGATTGAATAGTTGATTGATTGATTGGTTGGTGGATTGATTGATTGATTTGTTGGTTGGTTGATTGATTTGTTGGTTGGTTGGTTGGTTGGTTGATTGATTGGTCAGCCAGATTTAACTTGCTTAGAACATTCTCATTGTGTTATCTCTGGTCATCTGACAATAAATCTACACAAATAAATGAATATATGCGTGTATATATGTATGTGTGCGTATATATGTGTGTGTGTGTTTAGTTTTTACGTCTATGTATGTATGTTTGTAAGTATGTATGTATGTATGTTAAAACCAAATGAGTGACACTGAACCGTCAAACATCAAGTAACAAATGGATTAACACTTTGATTTGTCGTTATTTGCACATGTCGGCATTCAGTTGGATATTTTCAAGCACACAGACACGCAGGAACCGCTGCAACAAGCACGAAATGTGGTTAGTTGCGAAAAACAGTTCCCTGCTGTCACCTGATCTGATGCTGATCATTTTACATATTGCCTTAAGAAATTTAAGGGTGTTGGGGTCCATCGGGCCGAGAACCTCGATACATATTGGCAAGAATTCCATCGAGGGGAGGGCGTTCCCATATTTTTTCATTTTCTCGTCCGCTGCTCTGAATGTATGTATGTATGTATGTATGTATGTATATATGTATGTATGTATGTATGTATGTATGTATGTATGTATGTATGTATGTAGTTTATGCAAATGTGTGTATGAATAAACATATGTATGTAGTTTATATGAATGTTTGTGTATATGTATGTAATGTTTTTTTGCATGTTATTTCTTATTTATACAAACATGTGTATATATGTGTGTATGTGTGTGTATATACACGTACATTTATGTATGCTTATATATACAAACATGTATGTTTGTATGTATGTATGTATTTGTGTGTATGCATGAACGTATGTATGTAGTATTTAAGTATGTATGTTTGTTTGTATGTTTGTTTGTTTGTATGTTTGTTTGTTTGTATGTATGTATTTATGTTTTAGTGTATGTATGTATTTTGAAGTGAAGCTTCTACTATGTTTTCTGTATTAGCCAACCCACCATTCTTATTAACTGGTTTCATCATTTTTAGCTTAAAACTCGGAGCATTCTATTTAAAATTTAAATTCACTTTTATTAGTATAATTTTTAATATACACACACACACACATGTAATATTAAATGGTTTATTTTATTTTAACGAACTAATTGACAATGGTAGAATGAATGAATTAATTATTGAATGAATGAATGAATGAATGAATGAATGAATGAATGAATGAATGAATGAATGAAAATTACTATTAGTCTTAATTCCGTTATATCTTTATCAACCTCATCATCATCATCAACGTCATTTGCTTACCATATATTAAAAAAAAATGAATTTCTTCTAGATTAAAAAAAATAGTAAATGTACATTTTTATTTTAAATACATTCATATTATTATTAAATAAATATAAAATTATAATATAAATATTTAAAAAAATGAATAAATGAGTGAATAAAGAGTTAAACAATGTAATTTTTCTTTCTATAAAACTATATATATATATGTGTGTGTGTGTGGGCGACTTTGCGCGTGTCTAATTTAAAAACATAAAAAGCGGAAATATAAAATGTTTTTAATACTGATTAAAAAGAGGTTTTAAAATGGCGATGTTTTGTAAAGAAAAAATGAATTTTAATAGATTAAATTATAGTAAGCTTATTTACGACCGCAATTTTAATAATAATAATATTATTATTTTTTATTTTTATTCTTTTTCATTTTCCTCAAAGATTGTGGCTGGTTTAAAACTTCGTTCGACTCCTTGACTGATTGCTTTTCATTCTCAACCAACAAATCGTGGTTCTGTTGTTCCGGATTGTTGGTTATCAATCAATCATTCATTCACTCATGCATTCATTCATTCATTCATTCATTCATTCATTTATTCACTAACAGACGAAGAATGCCATTGTAAAGCTTCCTTTTCAATCTCCAGTCTCTTATCATCCTATATATATATAATGACAATATCAATAATAATAGTAATAATAATATTAATAATAAAATAATAATAATTATTATCTTAATTATTATTACGATGTGATTGATGAAGAGACAGGCGGGTATCCAGAGGGTCAAGGAGACGACCAATACCATGCCAACAATGTTGTTCTTCATGAAAGTTACTGATTGGTTGGATGGTTGGTTGGTTGACTGATTGGTTGGTTTATTGATTGGTTGGTTGGTTTGTTAGTTGATTGATTGATTAACTGGTCGGTTGGTTGATTGATACACTGACTGATTGATTGTTGGTTGATTGATTAATAATGGCAATTAAAATTTTAACAGAGTAGTAATCTTAATTATCAACCAAATTCGTTGATGTCTTTGAACTCGATGACTGACCAGAGTCTTTTTATCGGGCTGATCTCCGTCAGCCTACATACGCCCTGTGTGATTGGTTGTTCGACTGGTTGAATGATTGATTGATTGGTTGAATGATTGATTGATTGGTTGAATGATTGATTGATTGGTTGAATGATTGATTGATTGGTTGAATGATTGATTGATTGGTTGAATGATTGATTGATTGGTTGAATGAATGATTGATTGCTTGGGTGAATGATTGATTGGTTGATTGATTGGTTAATTGATTGGTTGGTTGTTTGATTAATTAATCAAGAAACTAAAAGAAAATTTATTTTACTCAGTCAATCAAAATCAACCAATCGCCTTAATGAATACCAGTAAAAGTAAACCTACTAGTTGACAATCAATCACTGAGCCAATTAATCACTCAATCAACCAATGACTCAATCAATTAATCAATCAATCACTTAATCAATCAATTAATCACTCAATCAATCACTCAATCAGTCAATCAACCTACTTTATAACAGAGCCCATTATTACATGCATAGCCATCCGGGTTGTAGTGAGCTTTCGCGTCATTTTTATAATATGGCGAACATTTATTATTATTATTGTTTTTATTATTGCTGTTATTGTTATTATTGTTATTATTATTATTTGTAGTTGGATTTCGGCAGCATAAAAGGCAAGAATTAGGATCTGACGATGATTGTGAGGGTTATATTGAAGATGATAGCAGCATATACACACATTTAATACATACATACAGACATACATACATCCACACACACACACACACACACACACACACACACACACACACACACACACACACACACACATACATACATACACACATACATACACACACACACACACACACATACATACATACACACACATACATACATACATACATCCATATATACACACACATAAATACATACATACCGTCACACAAACAACTTTCCAGGTTATGGTATTCACATGTATTCACACAGACACCGCCTTTGCAAAAACCTTCTGCTTTATTTCTGCGTTAATTGAACAACAACATTCGCAACAACAATAGTAATAATAATAAAAACATCAATTACAATAATGATGATGATTGTTATCATGATAATGATGATGATGAGGATGGCGATGATGATGATGATGATGATGAAGATGGCGATGATGATGACGATGATGATGATGAAGGTACCTGGCGGAACAAGGGCTTTTTTCATTTTTCGGTTCGAGCTTTGGACAGACCGCATCAACACCGCTGAATGGATGAATGAATGAATGGATGAATGAATGGATGAATGAATGCATGGATGAATAAATAAGTGAGTGAATGAATAAACGAATGAATGAATGGGTGGGTACACGAAAGAATGGATGAATGAACGAACAAACGAATGAATGAATGCATAGCATATAGAACGAATAATAATAAGTTAACTAAAATAATAACATTGATAAAAATAGTAATAATAATAATAATAATAAAAGTAATAATAATAATAAATTATAGTAATAATAAAAACCTGCAATATGCGATTTCATTGCACTGACTCTCGTTCCTACATTGAGTTGATCTGTTGGCATACTTGCAATCGTGGCAACATTCATTATGCATGTCACTGTGGGATTTGTTCATTCACTCATTCGTTCATTCATTCATTCACTCATTCGTTCATTCATTCATTCACTCATTCGTTCATTAATTCATCCATCCATTTTGACCTGCAAGATGCATTTGGGATGAGTTTGCAATCTCTGGTGCAGCATTTGAGATTGGATTTGACGTGCCCTTCGTCGCACTCTTCTCCATCTTCAGTCTTGTAATTGCCACAAAAGATCGTTTTAACTTCTGTACGTGTGTGTGTGTGGTTGTGAATGTGTGTGTGTGAATGTGTGTGTGGGTATGTGTGCGTCCATTTTGTGTATGGGTGTGTTAGCGTGTGTGTAATTTTTAACTAAGTGAACGAGCGAATGATGGTTGATTTGTTTTTAACCGATTGGTTGGTTGGCAAGTGCGAAAAAGTGCAATTGAACGAATGAATGAATGTATGGATGGATGAATGAATGAATGAACAAATAAAAAATGAATGAAGATAGAATGAGAAAAGAATGAATGATCACAAACCGACAAAACACAATTTCGCTTTGTTTCTCAGAACTGACGTGATTTCAACAACACTACACTGTGAGAATTTCTAAGAAAAAAATTAATTATAACTATAATTTTTAATAATAATTATTATTATTATAAGCAGCAGCAGTAGTGGTAGCAGCAGTAGCAGCAGCAGTGGTGGTAGCAGCAGCAGTAGTAGCAGCAGTAGCAGCACCTTATTGTTAGGTTCATAGCCAGTAACGGCAATAGGGTACATGAGGTAGTGTCCGTCTTTGTCCTGCTCTCCAGAGCATGAAGCTTCCATGTCGTGATGGCTGCCAAAACTGTGGCCTGCAAATCAATCAGTCAATCAATCATTCATTCATTCATTCAATCAATCATTCATTCAATCAAGTAACTAATCAGTCAATCAGCCAGTCAGATGATGATGATAATAATGATGATAATGATAATGATTACTTACCTAATTCTATTTTTCGAGAAATCCAGGTTGGAACAGAGAAGGAGAGGGAGAAAGAGAGATAACGTTTGAAATAAAATTTTAAATTCAATAAATAACTAAATGTATAAATGAATGAATGCATGAGCGAATGAACGAACGAACGAACAAATGAATGAATGAGTAAACTAATAGATAAACGAAACAAGAAAAAAAATCGGACCGTGAGCAATAACGAGTGCAGCCTGAAGGGATGGAATCCTCACAACGTAACTATTTTTGAAAGTCGTGAAGCCGGTGTTTGTGTAGCCATTTGCTGATAAAACTAATGATTGATTGTTTGATTGATGGATAGATAGATAGATTGATTGATGGATAGATTGATTGAATGGTTGGTTGATTGATGGATTAATTGGTTGATTGAATGGTTGATTGGTTAAGTAGAGAATTGTTTAGTTTGTTTGTCGGCTGATCGTTTGAATGGTTAGCGATTGCTTGATAGATTGATAGACAAGTTGAATAATTTGACAAACTAAAAAAGAGAAAAAGAATGAAAAAGAGATGGAAATGAAGAGAAAGAGAGAAAGAGAGAAAGAAAGAGGGAGAGAAAGTAGGATAGAGAAGGAGAAAAAAAAACTCACACACAAACACAAAAGACTAACAAGTTGAACAAATCCCACCAGAGCTAACGAATCCAGTTTCGGATACCCAGGGTTTGGCCAGATTCGATAGTCCCAGTGTATCGTTATCCATGGATTGTGCGCTAAACAAATGACCCAGGCAGTAGTTAGGTAGGTCCGCAGAGAAACTAGAACTACTAAAATACTGAATGTGTGTGTGTGTTTGTGCGTGTGTGTGCGTGTTTGAGTGTGTTTGTTTGTGTGTTGATACGAAATAATAACGCGATGATATAAGAGGTTATTTATTACAAAGATATCTAATGAAGATGTTGGTAAAATCGGTGATGATGAAGATGATACATATTGAATTAAGATAATGATAATCAATAAAGACCATGATACTGATATCAAAAACAATGATACTGATATCAAAAATGATGATACTGATATCAAAAATGATAATACTGATATCAAAGTTGATGATGATACCTTGAGAAATAAGGAGGGATTGCGACTGGCTCCAGTTTTATGGTTGTAGTGGTGCCTGATGTTGCTATAGTTCTTGTGTACAATCAGCTGTGTGTTTGTACGTGTGTGTGTTTGTATGTATGTGTGCGTGCGTGAGTGTGTGTGTGTGCGTGCGCGTGTGTGTGTGTGTGTGGACGAACTTGTCCAATTTGAAATCCAAATCCGCTTCCACATTCGCCAAACGAGTGATGCTTGTATATTCCATTCATTTGATCAATTAAGGAAATCTGTATGTATGTGTGTGTGTATGTGTGTATGTGTGCATGTATGTATGTATGTGTGCATGTATGTATGTATGTATGTATGTATGTATGTATGTATGTATGTATGTATGTATGTATGTATGTATGTATGTATGTATGTATGTATGTATGTATGTATGTATGTATGTATGTATGTATGTATGTATGTATGTATGTATGTATGTATGTATGTATGTATGTCTGCATGCAGGTTAAAGTAGATTTTATTAGTATTTCCATTCAATATGCAGCCATCAAAAACAACATCATCATCATCATCATCATCATCACCACTATCATCATCGTCATCATCATCACCACCACCATCATCATCATTACCATAATCCTCATGGTCTCATCATAGTTTGAATGGCCGACGTCCTCATAAAAAGATGCATCTGCTACCAGGTAAAGCGGGCAAATTTTATGCTCTTTGTTGTCGCAAGCAGACGACGACGACGAAGAGTAGTAGTTGGGAGAGCGTTTGTTGATGTTGTGGTAGCCTGTGGTTGTTGTTGATGTTGTTGTTGATGTTTATGATGTTGTTGCCGTTACTGTTTAAGATGATGATGATGTTGTTGTTGATGTTGTTGTTGTTGATGATGTTGTTGATGATGTTGTTGACGGAGGTGATGTTGTAGTTGTTGTTGCTGCTGATGGTAATGGTGTTGACGTTGACGAAAAGAAATCTATAATCAACCGCTGTAAAGACATCAAAATCATCGCAATGCTGCTACTGCTACCACTACAACTGCTAGCTACAACAACTACTGCTACTACTGCTGCTGCTACTACAACTACTCCGAGTAATTTGTTTCTACCTTTAAGATTATCCGTTCCTTCGTTATGAACTGGACAAAAAACTTTCTTTTTATCTTCTTTACTGCAAATAATAATAATAATAATAATAATAATAATAATAATAATGACAACAACAATAATAATAATAAAATATACAATAACTTTTTTCCAAATGCTTTAATATCAGATGACCGATAAATGATCCATTTTTCTTCCGAGTCATTATTATTATTATTATTATTATTATTATTATTATTATTATTATTATTGTTATTTTTGTTATCATCGTCATCATCGTCGTCGTCATTGTTTCTCTTTTTGCTATCATAATCAGGAGGAATATATCGATTGAGTGGCTAGTGGGGATGTTGAAAATGATATCAAATTGGTGAGAACATCACCTTAATCATCATCATCGTCGTCGTCATCATCATCATCATCATCGTCGTCATCATAACTACCTCCATGTAGTAATTATCGTCACTGCTATATACAGCCATGCTATCCAGAACATTATCTTCATCATCTTTATAGACAGCACTTGCATACGAGGAACTTTCAAAACCTTTTGTGTGTGCGTGTGTGTGTGTGCGTGCATGTGTGTGTGTGTGTTAGTATGAGTGTGTACGTTTGTATGTCTGTGTGTTGTGTGTATGCGTGTGTGTCTGTGTGTACGTGTGTGTGCACCTTCAACATAGCCGTGATAGAGATGTAACTTATCTCTGTCAACTTTAACTTCACGTATGTTGTCACTTTCGTCGCTTTCGAAGGCCTTGAAATTTGGCGCCAAAATTGATGACGATGATGTTGGCGATGATAATGATGATTTCAGAAGGTTTAGTTTCATTTTCCTGCAAGGTTTATCAATTATTAGCTAATTTCGTTAACACAAAATACACTACTACCACTACTACTACAACTGCTATTACCACTACTACTACTACTGCTGCTGCTGCTACTACTATTGCTACTACACCACTATTATTAGCAACAATAATAATAATAGTAGTAGTAGTAGTAGCAATGAAAATATCAACATTACAGGCTTGTCTTACTTACTTATTTCGAAATTTAAACTCAAAACTTCTGTGGTTGACATTTTGTTCTGGGGACCTTCTCCTAATTTTGTGGTGAAAAGTGTACTCATCTGATATTTCGTAGTATTGGAAGAGCTCGTCTAAAGATTTTAGTTCTTTGTTCCGGCTGTTTCTCTTTGCTACTATTGTTGTGTCTGCATTGATTGATTGATTAATTAATTAATTAATTAACTATATATATATACTAATAATAGCTACGACAAATACATTAACAATAAAAATAATAAAAGTTCTTATTCGCGGTATTATTTAACTATTATGAAACTAACTATCTATAGTGTGTTTTGTTGCACTATGTATATATATATATATACTATATACATTGCATGTTTAGTACCCAAGTTTGTGAAAATCAAATAAAAATATGACAAATAATTTATTTTTTACTACCACTAGCCTGATATTATGTAGAGAAAAGTGATGAAGAATAAAACACACGAATCGAACTTAGTCATATTTGAAATGCAAAAGTATAAAACTGAAGTGTAGAGTGACACTAAATTAAAATCTGCCTAACAGAAGTTTGAGCAATATAGTTTAAGGATCTAACAATTAATGGGAAATTCCACTGTAATGTGATTAACTAATTATAAATTTAGTTACCATTACAAAATGTTACTATATTTCGTCGGTAAAAATAAGTTTCTGTAAGTATTAAAAACCCAAAATTGTTTAATTTTTACATTTTACATTTTACTTGTTGCTTTTGGAAAGAAATTAGCATATAAGACACATTTTTCAGGTATAAAATGATTAGGTGAAAGTTCACTTTTACTTATTTTGTGCTCAGGTGCTTTTTGTTTACCAGGTGTTCTGTGCAACTATGGCAACCGTAGAATAGTACAAATTTCAATTGAGGACAGAACCGCTTCAAATTTATTCAAAATGCAAGTTTTTTATTCATTTTATTAAAATAAAATTATTTTTTAGAGTTCTTGAACTACCAATTGTCGTGATAGCTCATTTCTGAGCATTTCTTTACTACATTATTAAGCTTTACTGCTTTACTTTATTTACGCTTACGGTTCACGCCTTTGGCGGACTTGGCTTACCTGGCTCACTTACGGACGTACACAGTTGTCTTTTCAACAAAGAATTTGTGAAAAAAAGCTTATTAACGCCGCTTTGTTTAAAAATATCTAATAATTTCATTGACAAATAATCAAATATTCAATTTATTTTATTTTATTTGCATTTTGCAGGTCTGAAAATATAAGGCCAGTCATAGAGTTGCTATGTAAAATTTTAGAAGACCACGAAATTTGCTTAATTAGAGCAGAAATTTTTAGGAAAGCTAAATTTGACACGAATTCAGTAACGCCTGCATTTTGGCAGTTACTTCATAACACTCTACAATATTGTAATAACGTTAAAATAAATGAAAAAAGCACTGAAAATGATGTCAAAAATGTTTTCAATGATGACTCAAACACTTCTACTTCCACAAACAACGCTAAACTTCAACAAAAAGTGCCACAAACTAATATCGAACATTACGTTAATTTTGTAAAATTTGAATTACTGAAGAAAAGATACCTGTCGAAGGAGTTGATGAGGCTTCCATTGGACATGTCATCAGGCAGTAGAGAGTTGTTACTCGCTTTTGCTTGGATTTTCGGGAAGGAAAACCTAATCTCAACTTTTATTCATAAAAAAATTACACTATTTAACGACAGCGAAAGTGGCCTTATTAATTTGTACGGCCTCCCCAGTTTAGGGATTAGTGAAGAGAAAAAAGATGATGAAAAACCTGATGAATTCAACTCAAGCGTTGATTTATTCTCAAAAATTCAGCACTTAATTCTCTTCAACAACAAAATAAGATTAAACCTGTGCAGGTTGTTTAGCATGAGAAAAGAACTGCACATGAAGAAACACATTTTGTACGAATCCAGCTGGAATAATCATACAAGAGTACCCCACTCGCAGTTGCCTAATCACCTATTTCTTTACGAGGTAGAACTTTTGAGAGATCCTGAAAAACTTGAAAAATACATCCAACTGTTGAATTTAGACAACCAAAGGTTAGAAAGATTGCTTGATTGGAAGAAAGTTGAAGAGAAATTCTGGAGATGGATGGACAGTGTCTTAGATGCTAAATTCATTGATAACAACAACAACAACAACAACAACAACAACAACAACAACAACAATAATAATAATGATAATAATAAGGATGATGATAATGAAGATGAAGATTTTATAGGCGGGAATGATTTGAAATTAGATTTAAACTTTTTTCAATTTGAAGACAAGTTAACCACCGAATTATGCAATAAACACGATCAGCTGGAGAAATATTTTAACAGCAACAACAACAACAACGATAATAATAATAATTATTATAAAAATTATAACAATAATAATTATAGTAACGATGATGATGATGACGGGGAAGAACGGGATGATGGTGATGATGATGAAGATGAAGCCATCAAAAATCTAAACGAGTTACTAAAACTAGTGGATAGAAAAATCGAACAACATAGAATGAATATAAACAACAACAATAATAAAAATAACAACAACAACAACAATAATAATAATAATCTTATAAATTCTAACGACTACTCATTTGTATATACTGGTCCAGTTTACAACGACAACAATAATGATGATAAAGGTAACGATAATAATAAAGACGATGACGATGATAAGAACAATAATAATAATAATAAAAATAATAATAATGATGAAGATGATGTTGATGATGATGACGACGATGACGACGATAGTGATGAGTTCATAAGTAAATTCAGAGAATTATTAGACAGCATTCCTGATAAAAAATCATCAGCAGCAGCAACTATAACAGCTGCAGCGGTTGAAGCAGTAGCAGTAGCAGCAGCAACATCAAAAGCAACTACACCATCAATATCATCATCAAAATCAACTCCAACAACAACAAAAACTGCAACATTTTACGAGGACATAGAACGGGAGACAAAGATCTTGCGGCAGCTGGTGAATAAATTAGAAAATGATCTGGTTCAAAAAAAATCC